GCTTATTTTGAGAATATTTGAAAGAAAGAATTCTTGATCTAAAGTTGTTGTTCTCATTTTCAACCGCTGACCGGAAGTTTGGAAAAATGAATGAGACAGATTTTGTTGTGACCAGACATCTTCAAACATTCGGCCTTAGCAAATGTACTCACTTAGTCAATGAATCCGATTTATTACTCTGCAGCGCAGGTAAGTATAATTACAGGTATTTCATGTTCAGCCATTTGTTAATGACTTCAATTTGTGTTATGCCATTTATCGACCTTATTCTTTTCTACAATAATTAAAGGGGGACCAGCACGAAAATCATCCAAATTTTAATTCTGCTGAAACCTTTACTGGAATAACCCTTACAGGTCTAATAATCACTGATTAAAGTTTTTTTCTGATATTTGGGTGGGAAGTATTATATTTTACCAATTTTTATAGGAGTCTGTGACGTCATACACTCAACACTAAACATTGCTCCATACATTTCTTTGTATTTTGTAATCAAAATTTTTGCTAGTTTTATACTCAGTCTAACCACAAGTTCGAAAGTTAAGTTTTCAGCGGACCTTTGTGTTTAATAGAAAAAGAGTAAAAAATGAAATTATTTACAAAGAAATGTATGGAGCGATGTTTGGTGTTGAGTGTATGACGTCACAGACACCTATGAAAATTCATAAAAATAAAATACTTCCCATTGGAATATAAAAAAGATAATTCAACCAGTGATTATTAAACCCTTAAAGATTATTCGATTGAAGTTTTAGTCAAATTAAATTTCGGAGGATTTTCATGTAAGTCCCCCTTTAAAGTTAATAATTTAGTTTCGAATTTCTATTTTGACAAGTTTATGTGAAAATAGTTGTAGGAACAGAGTTTTTAGTAGCGGAAGAGGGGGTATATCTTGTGATAAAGTATTAAAAAAAACCCAAGTTATTCGAAGCATGCATGCCGACTACCTTGACGATCTTTCACTTCTGTTTTCACTGCGCTCTTGTCAAGAATTTATTCTTCGCATGCTGGTATATAATTKCCGTGCAAGTCAGGGGCGGATCCAGRATTTTTTCTATTRGGGGAGACAYCATCCWGGATWTTCGTTTTAGKAGGGGGTGCACCCTTTGCTTACAAACTCAAACCCCAATAATGCAGTAGATAACAGCTCATCTAGGGATCTAGGGGGAAGGGAAACAAAATTCCCATGCACCCCTCCCCTAGATCTGCCGTTGCAAGTTAACCCCGCAACAGGATTTTTTGACATATCACTGGAAGATTCTAATAAATTTGTATATGCAACCACCATCGTGATAAGCTTGGCATTTACTGGAGAGGATGTCTCTGGAATAGTCAGGTCCAATCAGAGAAAATCATCAGTTTCCAAACTTCCGGTCAGCGAATTGTACACATATAAGATTGAATGTTGTAATATGTGAGTTAAAATGGGCCATATTTGGCTGAACATGAAATTATACTTACCTGCGCTGCAGAGTAATAAATTGGATTCATTGACTAAGTGAGTACATTTGCTAAGGCCGAATGTTTGAAGTTGTCTGGTCACCACGAAATCTGTCTCATTCATTTTTCCAAACTTCCGGTCAGCGGTTGAAAATGAGAACAACAACTTTAGATCAAGAATTCTTTCTTTCAAATATTCTCAAAATAAGCATATTTTTTTACTTTGTAGCCTTCAAAAGTTCAGCATTCATGTTAAATAACAGCTTACAGGTAATTCTGTCACGAAATACAGGAATTTTGAAGCTCGAAGAAACTATAAATGCTGTATTGCTTCGAACGAGAATTCGATGACTTGTGTATTCTGTTGTAATCCTTTATAGAACCACTTAATTATTGCTTGGATTTTAGCTCTTTACGACAAATGTTAGTTCGCTAAATGCTAATTGAGTCTCCAAGAAACATTTCCTAGTGAAAATTTGGAAAGTTGAGCGCCACACAAGTCACAATGAAACGATAAAGGTAGGTTGAAAATGGCGAAAATTGCAAATAACCCATTGTTTACTTTGAATAAAAATACCCTTCAACCTCTAATGCTCGTTTAGCTTACTGGCATCTTTTTGGTGCTAATTTTCGAAGCTTTGATATGGTTGAATTTAGGACATTTTGAATTTTAGGCCTTATAATTTGACTATC